CCCCCAAACAGTGGAAGACTCCACCGTTCTCGGCGCTGTCGAAGAGGATCCGGAGGTTAGCACCCGCAGCCTTGTGATAAGACTCGGGTGCACCCATCCCACAGTCCTCGGTCCCCTCCACGCCCTCGCCACAGGAAAGTGCCGACTCGATGGATCCTCATGTCTTGACCGATAGCACGCGGTTCAGGCGGGTACCCATTTGTCAGTTTCTCCTTCTTTGTCCGCACCGAAAGGAGTTTTTGGAAGGCATGATTACGAGAGATGAGAGTTGGGTCCTCTACGATTCTAACAAGCACAGTGCCGTGTGGCTCCCTCGAGGAGAAGACCCTGCCGACACAAGCAAAATCGGACCTTCACCCCAAAAGCTCTTCGCGATAACTGTCTTCTTTGCTACCTCTGTGGGATGTCGTGAGGAATGTTGTATTATGAGTGCTCCCGCAAAGAGATACCGCTACCGGCAGCATTTACGCCAGTCAGCTCCAGAAACTAGCGGACGCTGTTCAAGAAAAACGACCGAGACGAACTTCTGTCCACCTACTCCACGATGACGCCAGGCCCCACATAGCTAAAGAGACCCGTGCAAAAATTGGAAGAGCCTGATCTGGGACGCGGTTCCCACCCACCCTATTCCCCTGACATTGCCCTCTCTGATTATCACTTATTTCATTCCCTCAAGCATTCCTAGCGAAGAAAAAATTCACCAAAGTTGAAGACGTTGAAAGAGCGGTCAGCGATTTCTTTGACTCTCAGTCTGCTCAGTTCTGGGAGAAGGGGGGTCGCTGACCTGCCCATTAGGTGGGACTCTGTAGTGAGTAACAATGGTGATAACTTTCAAATAGTGGTGAATTCCATTGTTTCCACGAATAAAAAGTAAGTCAAAGCACAAAAAACAAGGTCAAACGGCTCAGGACTTTCTTACCATCCTAATATTATAGTATCGAAAGCTTAGTGCTACGGATATCGTTCGAGAGATTGTATTTTAGAGCTCCTTCTGTGATGTGAACACCCATCACAGCTTCACAACGAATGCTGGGTTGTGAACAAAACTTTCGCCCCAGGCGGGACTAGAACCCGCACCTCTTGCTTACCGGGCAAGTGCGCTACCAAGTTACGCTACCGGGGCACCATTTCGCCATCACTTTGCTTTAGTATCAAACAAACCAAGTCAAAAACACAGCACAGAACTCCTCCATTTTTGACAGAATTTTATATGCGAAATGTACTAGTTCTTCATTTTTCTCACCTAAGCCACCCCTGCAAAGATTTTCATCTGACAACTGCAACCTCCAGCAATGGCTATGTAATTCCGCGTAGCTGAAAACGCTCCAATTGTTTCGCAAATCTTCTTGCACTGGCAAATATTGATTTCTAGGAACCATGCAATAAGCGAAGGCCACAGCAAAAGGAGCAGAGAACATGGGAAGGCTTTTTCGGAAGGAGCCCCTATGTCATCGACATACGCCGTCATGGCGCCTACATTGTTTGTGAAGGATCTGGTGAGAAATCTTTCATGTAAGAAACATAAGGCTTCCATTCTGAACATGTGGGGTATTATCTACCCTCGCCTTCAAATGACCAGAAATTGTGCAATTGCAGAAATTGACGTGGCATTAACGTTGTGTCACATCACGTGTGCTCAAAGATGTTCTTGAATCGATGCCACGTTAATGCCACGTCAATTTCTGCAATTGCACAATTTCTGGTCATTTGAAGGCGAGGGTACTTGGTCTTCATTGAACCATTCGGTACTGGAGCACCTGTTGAGGAATTCCCATTGATGGGGTCGTATTTGAGTTGTTAAGGGAAGCGATTACGATAAAGAGGGAGCGCATCGGGGAAGCATATGCACCACACGAATCAGTTACTTGGCTGCCAGAAAGCGAGCTTTCACAACGAAAGGTGCGCTGGTTGCTGAGCAGGGAAAGCGCTCCGCCCCCAAAAGCGATCCGCCCACTAGTTTACTTGTTGATTTGGACGAGCTGCGTGCCAGCAGCGGCGCAAATGGAGCATCTCGATTAAAGCGTGGTTTGGCATGGTGCCATCAAACATTGCGGTGAACTCGTTCATACGTCCACTTTCTGAGCTGTTACCTGTTCATGAGTGAAAACCAACGGCCAAAAAAGGGGTCCCGTTTTGCGTTTTCTTGACGGATTTTTCTGCTTTTTTCGCTACTGGCGTACCATTGAGCACCACCACGTCACACTAAACCCTTCTTGAATTTATCGTAAGCCGCTGCCTTTAATCGAGGTGGAGGGGGTCGCATTGGAGGGTTCAACGATTGGGGTGACTTGTTTGTATTTGAAAGGACTGGGGATATGATCAATCTTCTATGGAATCAATAGCCTTCCGTTGTATGCCTCCCGGCGTGCGATAGAAACTTTTGGAAAAGAAAGAAAAGGTAAACAGTAAGTGTAAGCAGGTAGGAGATGTTTACGGAAGGGGCCGAGAGAAGATATTTGAAAAATTTCCTCGCCTCCGTGCTTGACCCTTCTAACAACCTCACGGGATGGTTTTGCTTACACGCTTGTTACAGTACACCTTTTGGTGCGGTGGTCGGAACACAGTAGTTGGCTATTCAACCAAACTTATAATTGGAGAACAGCTTCCCTTTCACAGAGCACGACAGCTTTGTCATTTTAGATCTCTCCTCACTCTCAGGATCCTTCAGCCTTTGATTAAATTCTGTTTTTCCTAGTAATAACAAGATGAAAAGTTCTGAGGACAGGATATCTGAAGAGCGAATTGTTGCTTCTAGTGGTATTTATGCTAGTCGTGCCCTGTTTCTTTCTACTCTTCACGATGCTAGCTCCAGAATAGCGCTCTCCTTGTTGCGAAGCAGGTCGGTCGAGTTTGGCTGCTTTTTGAGTGCCTTCAAAAACGCTACAGTGCTTCAAGTGTGCTTGGCTCTACTTCCATTCACCTTCAGTCTGCAGTGGGTGAGTTACTGCTAATACCAAAGCTTAGTGAAACCTGTAGCTAGTTCGGGGTTGGTTTGCCGAGCTCTATTCTAGCTGTCGGGAGATGAATTGGCAACAGATTTGCTTTTGGGGAACGATGTTGCTTTGCTGCCATCCCCACTCCCCAGTGCCTCATTGTCCGGATTCCGTGAGCATTGCTGAGTCTGAACATTATTGAGTGGAATGTCAGATGGTACTAGCGTTTAGTACGTCAAGTAGAGTATTAACTAGCACATATTGTCATATCTTGCATAATTTCTCTCAGTTCATGTGATATGATGAAATATAAAACTGCGGTAAAATGTATGACGACAATATCTGCATAGCCCTTATTGTTTAGTCGGAAGGTCAGCGGTGTCCTTGGTTCTGTGGAAGGAAGTTTCGCCGTTTATATTGGAGGCCACCTAACAAAAATGTATCGCCGTCAAAGTCGGGCTCATTCCTGGAGGATGAATTACTTCACTGTCATAACTTCCAGCTTCTTTTCATTGACTTTCTTGACTCTTTCTACGCTAGTATTCAGCAAGCCAAAATCCGACTGTTTTTGTGGAATATTCCCCTATGGTCTGCTGGTCTGCCCTACATTTGTTCTCTACCCAAACATTATCCAACTGCATTCAGCGGAGACACTATGAATTAGTATGAGATTTGGAAAGTGAAAAGGGAAGGGATAGATTCTGCGTTGAAACTAGGTCGTGATGGTGGATTCTCGACCGGTACGTTATGATTGAATATCGCTGCAGAGCGTAATAAATACAGTCGCTCGACTTTGTAAACAGTTTTTTCTGGTAGTATCCTGTTAGGCTGTCGCGCGCCGAGACGTCAGCTTGCTGGCCAAATTTCAAGGTGCTGTTATCCCATTACACAATCTCAGTCCGGCTTACGTGGAGCTCGAACTGAAACCGATTTCGGCATCGGTGGATGGCGATCGCAACAGTGCCCCGATCGACGAGATGCGCTCAAGACACAGAGGTCGGCCGCGTGCCTCTCCATCCATTACTCAGTATTTCGCCAGTTGGCCGTTGTGAGTAGTGACCCCGCTGCACACAAGCCCCGTTCGGAGGTTTCTCCGTGGGTACACGTGGCCGATCAGGCGTCGTCGATGCGCTCCCCGTCTCGTCGCACTCTCTCGCTCCTCCTCCTCGGCCCCCTTTGTGGCTGGCGCTCTGGCTGACCCTCTTCCATAGCTCCTTCTTCGCATCGGGGCTGATTTACTTTGTGGTGGCCTGCATTCATACAGGTTTCGGTCATCTCTCGAATGCTCCCGATTCGCGTCTCACTTTACTGGAATACTTATTGGGCAATTGGCAGTTACCGACTCATAAGTCGCCTTGTTTGCTCATTTGCTATTAACGCGCTTTATTACTATCAGATTATTTGCAAAAGATCGACAGGAAGGCGTATGTGTCAATAAAAGCTGCTGACAGATCGCACCCTCCTCGCTTCAGCTCATACCCCGCGTTTCCTTGTGCTGCCAAACCGCCAATCACTACTGCCAACATGTTTGGTAGACGAGCGTCACATCATTAGCACATCTATTGGCTTGATCAACTGCAGAAAAAGTTCCGTGTGAAAGTTTTAGGTGGCGTTTTCCTTGAATTCTGGCTATGAATTATGCATTGCTTTGCGATGAGAACAGCCTGTTTCATACTGGTGGTCGGGCTGCCAGTTTTGCTCGCTGCTGGGGCCCTTTACTGCCGTATGATCCCGTTAGAGTAATCAATAGACGTGATATTTATATACTCATGGGGTTTGTTTACGTTTGAAAGATGGCCAGTGAGATACGCCGCAGATCCTATGAGCCATCCTATCGGTCACACTGCCCTTCCTTTTTTTGGTCATTCTCGTTGCTTGCACTACTCTCGGACATTCTCATCAGCTCCATGCCTAACTGCCATTTTATCGCTTTTCAGCTGAATATGCTCATTGTTGAATATTCGATTATTATCTCATACGCTGTATTTTTTTCACTATGGAAAACTCAATTTTGATCTTATTGATCTTGAATAACCAATATTTTCCAGAAAACTTGTCGATTTTACCATGAAGTATCTGGTGTTGATCGCGTTGATTGTACAAGCCCTAGCCTCCCACCACAGTACCGATCCTGACAAAGACGCCGCTCATCAAAAGGTATCGGAACAGTTTGTTGTTGTCGTGAACAAAAAGTGTACTCCTAAAAAATGGAACTAGTTTCCCATGATCATACACAATCGTACTGTGTTGTGAGATTGCCAAGTAATGTGCATCGTCAGCATTAGGAACAGTTGTCCGAAGACGAGACGGCGACTTTACAACGTACGCCAGATCGCCTTCAGAAAAGAAAAAGGTCGCCATCATGTCTGTGACCGTACGCAACGGGCGTACGTCAATGGTAGATCCATGTATAGAAGAGTAATTAAATAGAATACCGTACGAACGAATCATCAATATGATTCATGGGGAAACAAAAAAAACGCACGGACCGTGAAACGGGAACATTTTCGTTTTCGTACAATAGTACTACTCTGAAAAGTCATTGCTGGCTGGCTGACAGTAACGTTCTGGCGTCCATTCTCATTTTCTACAACTAGATGGGTAAAAATCAACTACTGAAAGTTAATCCAAATCGTTAAGGGGGCAAAATTAACAACTTGCTAAGGCACTTAAATCTTGCCCAAATACATGAAGAACCCACAAGGGACAGGGTTATATACCGAAAGAATGAACTAAGTGTCGTGGAAATTCGTGTAAAGCGAACCGTTCTCTAGGACTGGTGCAACTCAGTTAAGGTCCCACAACTCATCCGTCTTCAGGCCCTACTCCCATTCTCTTTCATCATATCTAGAGCTAAACTTAACATCTCTGACCTTGCCCCAAATCTGATAATCGAGAGGGAGAAGGGGGGAGGAGAGATTTGATGTGATCAAAAGTAGAAAAATAACAAAATTTGTGAAACTCTCGATTTTTTCCTGAAATTGCTTCTCCTCTGCTCGTGATGGTGGCGTTTTCCATTCGCGTTAAGGTCGATCAAGCTTTTCGTATGTGCTGTGCTGTGTTGTACCAGGAATAGCGCGCCTGAGCGTGCATCCATTAAATAAATAAAATAAATAAATAAATACATAAATGAATTGAAGGGGGCTTCTTGAAGACTTGCCATAACTTCCCAAGCGCTCCCTCAACTCAGTCCTTCTCCCTTTCCCTTTCGGAAAACGCCATCAATTCCACCTACTATGCCTTCCTTACCAGAGAGCCATCATACTCTACTCCTATCGCCTAGTTCTCAACATTGGTCCGCCCGCTCTCCAACCCTTAAGCCAAGGCCTTCTAGCAACCCGCATTCATTGAAAGTTCTGCACGAAACCACGGAAGTAAGTGGACAGTCTGCAAGATCTGGCTTTGACCCAGAACACGCCTGGCTGGTGCCTTGAGAACTTCCCCCACTCAGAAAGCGCCATTTCCTTACTGTATGTAAAAGGCTCGAGGAAATCTAATAACTCTCCTTTTATGAAACCAGCTGGTTTATTTCCCCATTTATAAGGTAACCCAGGGAAACGAAACGTCCGCTGGATTCGTTAATGGCCTTCAGCTTTTTGTTTCTGACAAATCAATACCTCCAGACGCAATTACCCTTTTAAGCACCGTTCCTAGACTCAAGTACACATTTTGCTGGTTTCGAGGATTAATTAGCTTAAGTTTCAGCCGCCACTCTTTTGTTGCTTATTTATCTACTTCAAGTGTTCACGGATGCATATCAGCATGATGAGGAAGGGTGCAAGCTGAGGAACAGAAATGCGAATAATGAATGTCGTAGTCGAGATGATTCAGCACATCGAGAATCTTGTCCTTGCAACCTCACAGGGACACCTGCGCTGATAACGAAAGGAGTGGTACGCCGCGGTTGCGCTGCGGCTTAGTCGACGCATGACGCATTAGGGTTACGGAAAGAATCCCTTCAGCGAGTAAAGTAGCTGAGCCCTCAGCGCAGAAGTAGTGCGACTTTTGGAATTCGAAACGAGCGGCGACGATGCTAGGGGCTTACGACTTGCAACCATGGACACCTCAAGCAGTTATCGTTGCTGTGTCTGCTGTCTTCCTTTCCGTTCTGCTCTCTCGTCTTGCCTCGGTGCATTTTAGAACATGTGCCTCTCAGAATGTCATGCTGCCAAAAAAAAACAACATCCAGGGTCTTTTGAGTGGTCCTTTTTCTTGCTTTCGTCATAAGCAAGTCAGTTAGAAGCAGATCTTATATTGAGCTGCTGTTCCCTTTCTTCGCTATTGCGAAGAAGCCTTCTAAAAGTTCAACGTACAATTATTCAACAATCATTCATATAATTGCTATGCAAGTATTCGATCAATTTTCATGGTATTTCAGGGAGGTGAACACGATCCTAAATACGATCATGATCAATTTCTTGGTAAGGATACCGCAGCCGAGTTCGATGAACTCACGCCAGAGAAATCAAAGGAGAGACTAGCGTGGGTTATCAAAATATCTTCTGATCTCTGTCCGACTTTTCAATGTGGTCTTTTTTGATCACATGTGCCAAGTAGAGAACGCTGAATTTCAGAAAATTGATTCCAAAGATGGACGCCGACGGCGACGGTTTCGTTGAAGAGAAGGAGCTGAGAGAGCACATCAATTTCATGCAAAAGAGGTATTGGTGATCTCTGAATTAAACCTGCTTCAACTGGTTTTATTCAAATCATTCCAGGTATGTGAATAATGATGTTGAGCGCACATGGAAGAACTATAAAGACGAAAAGATTGCTGACGGCAAGATCAAGTGGGAAGACTATCGGTAAGTATTTTCAAGTTCTTGAGGTAACTGACGTCATATAACTCAAAGAAAAGGATGACAGAATATCTAGCTTCGTATTATTCCAGAGAGATGGTCTATGGATCACCCACAGGTGAGGGACAAGAGCTTTCTCCAGAGTACGCCAAGATGATCGCTCGTGATCAGAAGAGGTGATTGATTCGTGGTGTACAATACTATTCAGTTTGGGACGGTTTTAACGGAGGCTCGATTTGTCTACACGTTTGAACAGGCATGCTAAAGGCTTTAATAAATAGACTGAAAGCAGATGAAGGGAGGGGTAAAATAAGTTCCGATAGAAGAAGGAGAAGTTGGGGTTTAGAGCGATCCACACAAAAAGACTCTTTACGCAACAAACGCTGACTCGATGTCCGGAGAAGAGCTCAGTCTTTATGAAAAAGGAAAGCACGTAGAGGGTAGAACGGATCATTTTGTGGTCTTGAAATGTACAGGCTAGTTGTGAACTAAAATTCTATATTATAGGTGGGCAGTTGCCGACTATGACTCTAATGGTATGCTGGATCGCACCGAATATGGTTGTTTCATGCACCCAGAAGACTGCGACCACATGCGTGACGTCGTCGTGGCGGTCGGTTTCTTACTGTAATGGAGTTAAATAGCATTGAAATGTAATGTTTTGAAGGGTAAATTGTACTAAATATCCAAATGATCTCATGATTAGCGCTTAATTAGTTTGGGGTGAGATCTTGCCTCGCTTTACGCTAGCTTATAGCCACGAATTGGGATTAAGTGCCAAAAGTAGCCCCTTCTCGAGTAAGAAAGAGGGATCTCCAAGCAAAGGAGCCAGCGACACTGTCGCGGCTCAAAAGTGCGCCTTAAGGGCGCTAAGGCCGTGCCTTGCCGGTTGCTAATGCTGCCACACTATCAGTCGCGTTTGCGAACTCTCGCGTGCGACGTACTCTCTCGCGTTTTCCCTCTCCTCGCAGCGCTGTGTCTCTCCGTCATACCATTACCGACCTCACAAGAAAGTTTCAGTGTTTTCTATGGTGTGCTTTTTCTCCTCGCTAACGTTCCTTATCGCACTCATTGTCTAATTTTCAAACGGTGGAAAATATCAATTCGGTCCTCACCCGTGTCCAGAATCCGTTGACGACGGACCGTTGTGTGTGCATCTAGGCATCTTTTTTTTTGCAAATTAGCACCAATATTTACTTTAAAACCAATAGTTTTGTTATGATAATGGGTGTACTACTTTTTGGATTCGATTATAGATATTCACGATTTTGGAACATGAGAATGAAGGCTCAAATTAGTCCTTTCAACCCTGAATTATTTCCCCGAGAAATAAATTCTTTCGCTATTGTTTATTAGTTATGAGCACATAAATAACACTGGTGACAGGTGATAGCGAAATATGGGGAGCTAGGAAGCTTGGCCACAACTTTTTTTTTAGTTTATGTTGGAAAAAGTTCCGATTCTTAGTCATTTCGAAAAGCCTGTGGTCTGTACAACATTGTGCTCCACATCATCATACAACATAAATATCTTTCCAGTGTTTTGGAAATAATTGACACTTACTTAGCAGGCTGCTTCGACTAGCGCGATTCATTTTTACACATGTACATAAATTCTTCTAAGGCCGATGTCAGACTTTGCGAGTCGAGGGATTCGCTAGCGTTCGCAGTCGCGTTGCTTACAGCGAATCAAGCCATTCTCTGTACGCGACGCGACCGCAGACGCTAGCGAATCGCTCGATTCGCAAAGTCTGACGTCAGCCCAATGCTAACAGCAACACACAGTAAATTGGCGGGTACAGGGCAAAATTAGGAAAGAATCGGAAGTATCCGCTAGAAAGGTTAGTAGAATTACGTTGTTGCGCCAGTACTGCAGACCTCTCAATGATGGTCCTTCCCCTTTCGGCCGTTATGGTGGCAGTTTTCACCGCCACGGCCGAAAGCTTTAAGGAGTATGATCTCTGCGTGAAAACGCGGGACATATGTGTCCCGTACTGCCCATAACGAATTAATGAGTTAATGAAAATGTCACAATGCATTTGGTTGAGGCGATTTCAACTTTAATGGGTAACACGAGCAGCTATAGAGTGAAGGGGCAGTTGGGGTGGGGTGAGGGGGGGGGAGGGAGAGTCACCTCGATTTAGCTGGCGATTGGATTTCCTGATCCAGGACGAAAATGCGCCTTGCCCCGCACCGAATAGATGTGGTTCAAAACTATAGCGAGTCGGAATACCTCGTGCATCAAAGTCACTGCATCATTGATGCGCACTTTAAAGTTTTTATTTAAAACTGTATCCGTTTTCTAATTCGATTTTGTCTACACTTGCTTTTCAATCGAATACTTCAGGAAACCATTGAAGATATTGACAAGAACAAGGATGGCTATGTAGACTTGGAAGAGTATATTGGAGATATGTATCGTCCAGACGACTATCCTGAACTCAACGGAAAGGTAACATTCCTTCGGAACGGAAACCAAATGGGATTTTTGCCAACCATTTTACATTCAGGAACCCGACTGGGTCCAGTCTGAACGTGAAATGTTCAAAGAGCACCGAGACAAGGACGGAGATGGCAAGCTTAACCAGGTAATTCCTGTTGACCCACTTTAACAACTGAACCTATTAGTTAACGTGTTTTTGTTCAGGAAGAGATGAGGGATTGGATCATGCCTGTCGGTTTTGATCACGCCGAAGCTGAAGCCCGTCATTTGGTCGGAATCGCCGATGACAATAAGGTGGGGCAATAATCTTTTGTACGAATTTGCCTATTTTGAATCAGATGCGGCGGGTGGTGGGAAAGTGGTCTCCCATTGGTGGGTGCAGGTTGTGACCAATCACAGATTAACCTGAAAGCAACGCCTGAGTGACGCAATTGCCCCTGTCGCCATGCTGATGTTTCGAAATGGTCCGGAAAGGATGAAGATCCAGTAATTTACATTGGTCAATTATTTCGGCGTGCGCCACGCTTCCATCAAGATACAGTGGCATCTCGAATGCAAGTTGGCCCACACAATGACAGGCAGAGGCCGGCCTATATACAAAGCAGTGATTTATTCCTCCAGATGGATCTAATAACCATTGACCCATTATGAAGGATGGAGCGATTGGTTGTCTTACGCGAAATTCGATCCGACCTTTGATCCTGGTCCGTGGGCGTTGCAAGTGGCGTCACTTTTCACTGCACCACCTCTGTCCCTAAAACTAGCCTTAGTTTGATTACTTGAAAAATTTTGCGGGCAATTTATGTTTGGGTAGCCTGGGGGAATTCAGCCAATGCCTTGTGACAGTTGTCGCATGGTTTTGTCGCGCGCGATGGGAACAATCATCACATACGCCCGCAACGCATCTTCATGGTTGAACACATACTATCTCTATAGTTTCATGAATACAATGGCTTTCTTGAACAATCTTTGATCAAATTCATTCAGGATGGCAAATTGTCACCGGAGGAGATCATCGCTCATTATGACACGTTTGTGGGTTCACAAGCCACTGATTACGGCGAGCAGCTGCAGAAACACGATCCAGCTGAGCTCTAACTTCACGGAACGCTATGCTTCACCGTACATTATGTCAAACCGAGGATAGTTACTGCCGTGGCTAGTAGCTGGAGTCAGATTTTAAGACTGCTTCATATGATAATGGTCAAAGTGCCTTGCTCGTATCTGATCAGTAATATTTCCCACAAACAGGTCATATCTTAACTTTTCATTTTGTCGTCCTTTTTTTTCTGCTATTGGCCTCTCGACTTTCACTGGTGTTGTTTCTTTGTTTTGTGCGTTTATTAATTATTCGGAGTGTAATAAATGAACCAAAGGTGTTTTTACGAGACTTTCTTTTGTCCCCAATTCGACAGTTATCACAAAGCTAACGAGGAAAGGTCACCAGGTCGGTCCGGCCATTTGCAATGAGGTGTATACCTACGCATTCGTCTTGAGACGATAAGCTAGAAACCGCTTTTCTTATCTGCTAAACGGTGCTCTGAACGGAGTTACGGAAGTTTTCCCCTCAACACTGTACTTAAACGCAGTATATGAGCGCTATCATTGGAGTCGCCACTATAAGCCAAGCGGGAAGGCGCACATCGTGGTTGACGTGGCGTAAGTGGTAACGCTCCAGGCTTGTAGGCGAGAGGTCATGGGATCGGTCTCTCGTGGTGTTTGTTGTTTTGCCTTTTTGAAAACATGACCAGAAAGGCTTTTAGACAGTATTTCCTCAACTGCCTTTACCTGCCTGTGTAAGGAGTTAGGCGAGCACCTCTGCGCAGGTTGAAGCTATTTTTAATTAATATTTGCCATGACTGAAAACGACGCTCATAGCCCACTGATAAGGTGTTTTTGCGGTAAACGAGTATGATATTCGTGTTCAGGAGACCGAATTTCCCCTGGTTACAAGTTTCCAGCTGAATCTGAGATTTTGACCTACACTCGAGAAAGGGCAGTCAACATACAGTCAAACGAGAGAAGGTATGAATCGAAAACTAACTGGAAAAGCACCTTCCCTGAATTTTGATGCAGAGTCATGTAAATCATTTCCATTATGCGGGAATGTGAGCCGTTGAACGTTTCTCTTTTCAAAATCTTGGTTGGAAGGGCAATTTCCATGCCAAGAGTTCAACGATAGGTTGATGATATGATGGTTGACTCACCTCATTTTTTAGGGTTGGGTCAAAATCTCAGATTCGGTAGGAAACTTATCTCCAAGGGTAGTTTGATCTCCTGAACACGAATATCACGCCTGTTTGCCGCGAAAAAGCCTGACACGTGCATTACGGGCACCATGTTCATACATGGACGACTACTGCCCAAACCTGCAAGGAACTGCTCGAAATTTTTTCGTACAGGGAACTAATGGCAAAGTTGATAAATTAAGAAGTTAGAAGCTTTCTGGCTACATCTTCACGAAGCACAAAACGGAATTACAAGTAATTTACGACATTAATGGTAGGTAGCTTCTCCTTTCGTATTGCATGCCTTTTATCCACTTCGTTTCGAGCGGGCGCTCAAGAGAATCGTTGGCTCATCGCGGGCGACGCATGCGGCGGAGGTGCGGCGATTTAGGATGGGCTTTGGCTCCTGTGTCGTCGCATGGTGGGCATGTTCGCAGTTGTACTACTTTGACTGTTTCATGCTTATAGTATTGTTTGGCGGGTTAAACAAAATAAAGCTTACCAAAAGAAATGAGAAAAATTATGGCTCAAATTTACCGAATCAGATACGTAGTGTCCTGTGGAATAGAGTGAAATGAGGTGTAAGCCCGGCCCTCCTAGCTTCTTCAGCTTCGCTATGAAAACTGCCACTCTGCACAGGAAAAAGAGTAATCTCCACACTTCATTACTTTGCCTTTTTCTTTCTCTTTTCCTTCCTCAACATTAAGCTCACGCCAACGCTGAGTCTGCTGCTCTAGACAGGGCAAATCAAAGCAGACTCGTAGAAAAAGCAAGATTGGAAGCATACCCTTAAAAAGCTTTATTGGTCGATGAGATGGGTAGCTGAATGGCAAGCACTTAGAAAAGAAGGAGAAAAATGGGCAAAAACCTTCTAGGACGGGCTTTTCTTGAAGTGCCACCATCGCTCGCAAGCAACGTTTCTTTCTCTGCTCTCGCCTGCGCTCTGTCGTGGAAATAGCGTGCTGAGCTTACAATGAACTCGCACATTTCAAATTTTTCGTCTGCTGAGAGGTTTATTCATGGTCCCCCTATCCAAACCCCTGTGAAGGTCCATACCCTCCCTCACAGCTGCTGCTTCGTAGTATCCAAAAATGAGTTTGCGCTAGCTCTTCCTTGTTCACTAAACTAGAGAGCTGTGCCATGATGGAAGACCACGAGGACACCAACAGCTGGAATTCCTCTAATTGAAACTAATATAAGACTATGCGATACCTACCCTGGATGCCGGGGTGCGCCACATGGTGGGAGGCTGCAAAAGCCGTCCGGCGCACAGGCTCGTTTACGAAGAAATGCTTTCGTCCATTACGTGTTGAACCTGAAGGTGAGACGCTGTCGTGTGTGACCCTGTCGCACTGCACCCGTGGCAAGATTTTCAAACATCCCCATTCTGAAGAAGAAACGCTGCATTTCATGGTTCACTCTCATTTTCCATTGCCGTCGCTTAGCATTAGCGACTTTTCTAAGATGGATATGCCCTTTTCCATACGAATCTGTCACCTGTGTGATTGCTGCCGAAAAGTACGCATTCAACTTTGTTGCTTAAGACCTTGATATTGCTTAGGGGAAAACGATCAGAAATCGCGATCGCACTGCCGATTCCAAAGAATGGAGTAGACATTGCAGGCCAAACGTCTAGCGCTCCGTATACAGGGGGATGGGCCAATAAAAAAAGACATTTCGTATCCACATTTAATCACATTTTGCTCAATTGAGACCGAGTGTTCCCAACTTAATATTGAAGAGCACATTTCCATTCTATAAGAAG